CATTGTGGTTTGTGCCAGCATGACCCCCTTCCCCTTCTTCGACTAACTGAACTATGTTTTCCTCAGAGGCTGTCAATCAAAGGGCCCAGGCTTGCCCAGCCCAATCAGGCAAGTTTTCCTGGCAATTTGTATCTTGAGTGGAGTGAAAGAAGATTAAAAAGGGTCAGAGTTCATCTGTCTCACAGATGAGTTCCTCAAACCTGCCCTGGTTTCCACGAGCTAATCCTTTGGGCTTCTCCTCAGTTCTCAAGAGCGACCTCCCAGTCCCACACGTTCTTCTGCTTCAGCTGGCCAGTGCTGGCTTCTGTTGCTTTCAAGCAGAGAACCTTAACGGATACAACTCTTCAGAGGAATAAAACATACACTGATCAACTTCTGCTTTTAGTGTGTGCTTATTGTGTAAGTGAGAAATATTAAAATCAAACCAGGCTTTTAGCATTCTGTAAACTAAGAAGATTCCCTCATGGTGAAAAGGGCAGTAGAAAATTCCCTCCTGCTGAAAACGGTAGTGGAATAAGTTGGCACGTTTTCTAAGATCTTCGCTGCATTTTTCTCTTGAAAAATGGCTTCTGAGATCTTGGATTTCTCAGGAAGAACAGAAGATTCAGAAAGCTATGACTGTGTTTAACAAGGTTCTTCCTCTGTGACAAGTCCTTTCTCAGAAGGGTTCACACAAACAGCAGTTACTGTAGCAACCTGTCCTCCTGGCTACAGGACCAGGAGAAAAAGGACACTCGGTGTGGGGCCTGCACACTGCTGGCTGGGGAGTCGAAGGCGGCAGCAGCCTAGGCACCGCATGAGCTGTGGTCATGAGTCCAAAAGTGGAAACTAGAACATCAGATGCTTTTTCTCTTTCTGGGACTGGCAAAGGGAGCTGCAGCCTGTTGATACTTTGGAACTGGCATAAGAATACCTCCATTTCACAGTTCACAAAATGCATGAGGCAACGCAATGATAAAGGGACACCAGGATCTGTATCTGGAATAATCCACTCCATGAACAAAAAACTCCTACCACATTTGCAGCATGTTATGGAGGAGAGACAAATTAGAAAACCGGAAGCATGCTTACCGTAGTTGATCTGCCACCTGGCTGGGAAAACAAGGCACATATGTGTGCAAAGGAGGAGGCAATGCAGAAACCATGCCAACTGCCAGATACAGACAGTAAGTACATAAAAAAATTCAGGGTCTGAAGCTAATGAGCTGCTCCTTCCTCATATAAACCTTCCAGATAGTTCTTAGCCAGGTAAACACAGAAATTGTTTATCTTTTCCTTTTTAGTAAGAGCTGATTTCAGCAGCAAAGCAAAGAATAATTAAAAGAGTACATCTACGTATATAAGAAAATAAAAACATAATAGTGATGAAAATTCTCCCTTTTAGGAATGATGCAGTAATCTCACAGTCCAATGCCTTCTGCCTAGCAGAGCCCTAAGTGTAACTTTTAATTTGACTAAGCAACAAATATTTAATCCCTTTCAACATCAGCTATCAAGAGTTGTATTTAGGGAAATGGCAAATTACCTCTGTGGAAGAAACAAACCCTAGCTCACAGCAAAGTCCCTCACGTGGGCCGAGTCCAAGCAGCTCACCTGTAAACGTTATTTGTTTGGCAAAGAAAGTCCAAGGACAGAACAAGAGGGTGGGATTACTTAGTGCTATGGCAGGGGTGGAGGAGATATGGGGGGGGGGGATAGCCACTGCACAGTTCCCCCCATCCCTCCCACTCCCCTCTACCCCCATCTAACCAGAGGGATTCTTGATTCAATCTAGTAACACACAGGAGCAAAAGAAATTCCAGTATTCTGGTGTGCATTCTATAACCAGAACCATTTCCACAGCAAAAAATAAAATAAAATAATAAACTCAAGTAGTTTTCCAGTTTAAGAATAGGCTTTATCATTTATAAGTTATGCTTTGCCTTATAAAATAAGTGGACTCAGAAGTAAGTATAAAATTAGGCTGGGCAATTTTTATTTATGCTACTAACACAGATTATGGCCAATGTGGCAGGTGATGCAGAGAAGTTTTTAAAAAATGAAATGGTTATTTATTTTATAGCTTTAATGTCACAAAATAATATAAATCACAATGCACTGCTCCCCAGTAATTGCTAATAAAATGCACATTAAGTGCTTTAAACTATTCATAAAATATAAACATATTGTGACCAGCCATTCCTCTTCTCCAGTGGGCCCCTCCCTCAGCAATTCTCTTGCTTCTTCCTGAATTGTGAATTGCTGCCTATTTCTGACAGCAAGTTGCATTTCTTCTCTTATGCAGATCAACAATTTTGACAGCTATTTGTTTATCTGAATAATCATCTTAACCACATTGGGAGCAGAAGAGGGGGTTCCAGTTGTGAACTGTGAAATAGAGGTATTCTTACAAATGATTTAGCTACTCATAAAACAAGGAATGTTTTGAGCCTCTACTGTGTACAAGACACAATGCCAGGGACAATGAAGAATACCAAGGTGAAACTGACATACATGTACTTTCAAAGAGCTTAGTTGAGCCTAGTCAGGAAATCAGGTCAACACCAAATTGTCATAAATAATACAAGCTAGACAACTATAAATCCTCCACTAAAGATTCTGCTACAGGAGGGTGGGATTACCTAGTGCTATGGGAGGGGGAAGTAGAGAACTCTAGAAGGAAGCTACAGTTGGGTGGAACAGAAAGGAGAGAACATAATTCCTTAACAAGTATCAACAAAGTCTAGGAGTGGGCAGAGCTCAGGAAGTTGATGGATGAAGCAAGGGGGGTGTGATGCATTAGAATATAGATGTTGTAGTGAAGATGGAACAAATGTGAAAGTAATTTATATTATGACTTGAAGGGGATTAAACATATTGAAGAATGTTTAATTCAGAAGTCAGCACACACTTATGTCACTCTTTTAGAACGTGTGTTATGTAACCAAAGAGCCATGGTAAGATTTCACAGGATAATTATGATATTTGAGAAAAATCATATTAACATAATTTTTAGGATGTTGATTTCTAACTGAATGGTATTCAACCTAGTAAAGGCTACTTAACAAGAACTGATACAAAGAGCTCAAATAACACTGTTAAGTATTCTTCAATGTGCTACATGAAGAAGGCATAAATTCCACTCCATTTCCACTTCTATGTGACTGTACAATAAATGATCTTCATATGAAACTCTAACATCAAGGCAAGGTCCTAAAGAATTCTCTGGAGCATCCAAGAAAGAAATTTTGTTTTGTTTTGTTTTGTTTGGTATAATTTATGGAGACTATGATAAGGTGTAAATTGTGAATGTATCTGTGTGCGATACATCAATCACAACACACATGTGATAACTCAGCCAACATTCATCAGGTCATCATACTATCCACCAATTGTAGTTTGGAAAGTCACTGGCATTAAGAAAATTTCCTTCCACAGAACTGTCTCACAATTGCAACAAAACTAGCATGTTTTCCTGCTTCAGAAATGCATTACATGAGATTTCGTTAGTGGTGGTGGGAAGGGGTGGGGAACCCTGATCCTTCTAAATTGAGATTTAGATATGCAGGCAGTCTCATCTGGTTCAGGTGCCCCAGTCCCAGGATCACAAATCTGACCAGATCCTTTCATTTTTGAGAATAGAAGCAGGAAGAATAATTTGTGGAAGCTTTCTCTGTTATTTGTGGAGAGACTTTCTTGTTGCCATTAAAAAAAAAAAAAAAAAGTGTGAGGATATCATTAGACAAGAAACAGTCCGTTAATTTCAAGGAACCACCCAAGAAACAGAGATGATCTTTATAGTTAGAAACTTCTAGATGATAACAGAAGTGAAGGTATACTAGACTGCCTTATTTCACCTATAATTCATTTTTTGTGAGTTAAATCTAGTTATGAGTCACCCTGGGCATACCAGCTCCTTGCTATTACCTATTGATCCTGATACATGGAAATAATCTCAAGAGTAGATTATCAAGAATACTGAGCGAATGCAAGTTCTGACTGAAGACACGAAAGTACGTAACTGTTGGTGCAAATGCAGTGTTTTGTCAAAAGAGGTGAGATTTTACCAGCTTCAATGAAAGCCCTAAGGAAGAAGACTGTGTACATCATTGGAAGAACTGATCCACAGAATGAAAAAAAAACAGACTGTAAAGCATTTCTACAAGTTCCAAAAAGACTTCCCTTCCCCTCAGGCTGGGGCCTCTGCACAGATGTCCTCCCTGGTGTAATCGCAGAGGCTGAGAGCTTTCCGAGGGGCAATGGCAGTGTCACTCACACCTGGAGCCACCAGCAGAGGCACCCACCTTGTTTGGAATCACGTCTCTATGATATCTGGAGGGTAAGCAATGACAGCATTTGTTTTCACCCAAATATAAACTTATTTTTCAATTTCAATTAAGAGCTAATGCTGGATATTGGAAAAGTTTGTTTTTTAAAAAGCTGCAAATTTCTATTTCTTTTTCCTAACCCTTTGTTAAATGATTTTAGAGGTTTCCATGACTTGAACACTACTGCAGAGGAACATGTCTGAAAGGTTACCAGAAGTGACAGACAGACCTATTTTGAAATAAAGTTAAGCCTGTGGTATTACTGAAAGGAAGTCACAAAGTCCAAAATTAAACCAGACAGAATGGTCTTAAGCTACTTTCATTCTTTTTTCATGGAAGCATAAAGAATGGGAGGTTGAAGCAACATGCCTCTTCTCTGAATTCTCTCACTGTGGTCAGTTTGTCTTGAACTTCCAAATTGTCTTCTCCATGGAATGTGTGCCCTTACATTTTAAACCTCCACATATTTAGCGTCAAACATCCAAGTATGCCTTTCATTGATATCGCTAAGAACACAACTCTTAATTTTTTATAGACGTGACTTTAAAAATTCAAGGAAAAAAATTTAAAAACAACTATTGTACTATTAAAAGTCCCAATTAGATGAGACAAATAAAGGTACATTTCAAAAACCCATTGGGCTTCCCAGAGGCAGATGTCTTAGCCAGAGGTTCCCACAGGCAGCACACCTACCTTATTGTGCTCGTACTTGTAGGGGATCTTGAGCGTGTCCATGGCTCTGATCATGGCCTGCATGGCCGTGAAGATGTTCTGATACACCAGTTTGGTGAAGCCCCTTTTGTCTTCATCAGAGTATCCTGACCCGTGGATGATTCTCATCTGCTTGATGAACGTGCTCTTGCCACTCTCTCCAGTCCCTGGAAGACAGACAACAGAAGCTCATCAGACCATGACACCTCCCCACAGTCTCCCAGAGACACTAAGCCAGAATTGCCAGCTGGGACCTGACATTCCCCAACCGCCTGCTCAGAGGAACATCGCAGGAGAGCAGAGCTGCATCACGGGGTGGACATGCCACCCATGGTGAACACGTAGCCACAACCGAGAATGTGGGTTCATTTCAGAGGCAGAGGAGCTTAGGAAACAACTGTCACCCCCTTGGAGGCCACTCAGCATGAATTTTGATAGTGATTTATAACCATGTATCTTCTAAGAAACACAATGAACACAGCATCCTTTGAACAGAATAAACACTTGATAAAGCTCTTCCCTAGGGAATAGCTGAACGGCTTCCAGGAGGCTGTTTGCCTGGGCCAGGATTTGGGCTTGGGAATGACAATGCTCTTACACAAAGGCTGCTCAGAGGGTGACAAGAGAAAAATGCCTAACCTTTTCTCGACACTTTCTCTTTTTTGAGAATGGGGTATACAGAGAGCACAATAAACAGATAGGAAAGAAGATTTTTCTGGGGAGCAAATATACTGATTTGGAGAGTGGGGGGGGGGGGTATTGAGTATAACCCCAACCATGAATATTGGGAGGAGGGGAGTATCTAACAAGTAGCACCTCTAATGGAAATAAAGCTGTGAAATTGTGTCTCATTATCAACAAGTTAAAAATAAACAAACAAATAAATAAATAAATAAATAAATAAATAAATAAATAAATAAATAAAATTATTATTAAAAAAAAAAACTGGTACCTTTGTTTTCCCAAGCAATACAAAGGATGTAGGGAAGAAAAACTAGATTGCTTCTTTGTGTATTATCCCCATCGCAGAGGCTTGCTCTGAGAGCCCAACTAAAGACATAACCATGAAATCAGAATCTCTGCCGTTTTTCCCCAATACAATAACAAGAAATCTTTATGTGTGAGGTTAATGGTATGAGAAGAAAAGGAAAGAGAATCAAGCAACAGGGCCTCCCTCCTGGCTATCCAAGAAGCTTTTGTATACTCATCCTCCAAAAGCAAAATAATAAAAACCAGAGAGTAGATGAAGCACAAACTACATTGGCTAGTGTTTCACTTACATCATACAAGAGCAGTTTACACATGGCAACTCTGGACCTAGTCACTAAGCCCCTGGGCAGCAGACCAATGCAGTCTCTTGCCTGCAGTCTCCTAAGAATGTGGGATCGGTCAATGAATAAGAAGGAATTAAGAGGTTATGAAAAAAAGAATCCAAAAATCAATTCTGAAGTAAGATACTTTCCTGTTGCCCCAAACACACCCAGAGTCCCTCTCTTCATTTCCTCTTCTTGCTTGGTGCCCCAGGAGGCAGACCAGCAAGGACTTAATAACATCTCTCTTGTCCTCAGTCTTCCACTTGGATTTAATCCATGGGAGACATGAGGAGGAGACCATGGAACAGGAGAATGAGGATGGCCATTTATTCCCCCAGCTCCCTCCCTGCCAAAGCACCACAGGTACTAGTATGCTGTGTCCCCTCCAAGAGGCCCCAGCCCCAGATGGTGGCCCTCTGCACGTTCTTGTACCTACATCCTTCCCTTGCCCAGCTATTGTGGGGCCCTGGTTACTGCACCATCCTCACTGGTTATCTACACCTGGCCCACACCTTTGTAAAGAGTCCCAGTATAAAACTCTCTTTAGTCACCCAGCTGGGGCAGCCATGACTTCTGCTGGGACCTGAGTAGTATTTTCCAAAGGGAAAGACGAAGCAGCTTAATAAGAAGAAAGAGTGGGAAGGCAAGGAAACAGAGGGTACTCTCTTCTTCCTCTGCCCTTTCTCAATAAATCTTATTTATAAAGCATTTGCTTCTAGTGATTCTCTTAACATTCTTCTGTTTGTTTGTTTGTTTTTTTGTGTTGGGGGGTATTTTGTTCTTTTTTTTTTTTAATTGATTTCAGAGAGAAGAAGGGAGGAGGAGAGATACAAACATCAATGATGAGAGAGAATCATCAATCAGCTGCTTCCTGCACCCCCTCTACTGGGGATAGAACCTGCAACCCTAGCATGTGCCCCACTAGGAATTGAACCATGACTTCCTGGTTTGTGGGTTGATGTTCAACCACTGAGTCACACCAGCGGGGCACTTAACGCTCTTCTGAAGGGCAATCACAATGGAGAAATGATAGAGCCCAAACAAGAATCCAGGCTCCTGACTCTCCACCAAAGTACTAATAAATCCAGTACCTGTCCTCCAGAACGTGCATGTGTACCCCTCCTTCTTCTCACCCCTCTATATCCAATCTCCAGTGTAGACAGGGGAAACAGTGGTCTCCACCTCCTGAATATCCCCTCTCTTGTGAAGGAAAACTAAAAGCAATTTGTGTTCAATCCTTTATTTTTTTGCCAAGCACTCTGAAATACATGGTCATTTTATCCTCTCAAAAATCTGTAAGGTAGATGTGTTTATTATCCTTATCCTATGCAAAGGAGAAGGCCTTGAAGAGGTGAGGCATCATGGCTGAGATGACACAGCTAGTAGCAGTCAGCATGAGGGCTCAAGCCCAGCCTTCAGTTGCCTAGTTTGGGTTTGTCACTACAGTTGACCAACAACATGGGTTTGAACTGCACAGGCCCACTTATACGGGAGCAGTTCAAAACCCCATTGTTCAAAAGTCAGCTGCATGGTTGGGAGTCTGCGTATGTGGAGGGGAAGCTGTAGTTCTTGGGTGGAAGGTCAGCACCCCTAAACACCCAAGTTGTGTAAGGGCCAAATGTTCACAGCTGCCACAAATTCAGGATAATTAACTTCTATTGCCTCTGTGACTACACCTCACTTTTACCCATTTAAACTAATTTTGAATTTCTGAATACTTCTTTATAAATGGGGATCCATTTTGAATCCTGGTCCTATGCTCCAATTGACTGGCCATCCTCCCAGATAAATTTCACCCATGAATTTAATGTTCACACTTAGATTTAATTATATACATGCAGCAAATTCTAAGTGAAGCCAACACTTCACTTAGGAGAAAATCTGTGTTATCCAAATGTTGTAGGCACAATGATAAAAGGTCAACTAAAATAGTTGGATTTAATTCAAAAAACAGTATATGAACTAAACTATCAACCAAGCAAAAAACTCAGCTCCTTTGTTCCACAAAAAGTTTTGTCATGGAAACAAATGGCTTTTTCTCAACAAACGTGTAACTCAAAGAGTGTGTACTTCTCCTATTTTTATACACTTACACAACAGTCTCAGGGGTTTGAAATGGGCATTTTAACAGTCTACTCAGGATTAGTCTGAAGAAAATATTTGGTATAATAAAAAGCTCCAGCTATGCCCAAATTATATAAAATTATGTTATTTTTCTAAGGCCACATGAAAGTATAATGAGAGACTTCACAATTACTTAACTCTGAAGGAAAGAAAGCCAACTTTTCCACCAGTAGACTGCTTCATGAATGCAGTGGTGGATAATCTCCTTTCACAGCCCAGAGCACAAATCACTCTTGACCTATCTAAAGAAATAGAAATGTACTATTTCCAAAGACACTTACAAAATAAAATCTAGCAAGGAGTCTGACATAAAATGTTTGTGTATGTGAGGGGCTGTGTCTCGTTTTTGCTAATTTGAATAAATCTCCCATAAATTAGTAACTTTAACAAGCATAGCAACCCAGACTATGCAGTCACACACTAAGGGTGTGACTCCCACAAAACTCTTGCTTCTCTCCTTCAATAGTATGTGGCTGAAGATTTCCCCCAGAAAAGTCACTTGTAGCTTTGGGCAAGTACTCTGCCTTTTCTTATCCCAGCTCCTCAAAACACCCAGAAATGAGACTATTTAAGACTCCTTGCTATTTAAAAAGCCACTTCATCCAGTGTGAAAATTAGCTTTGAGGGATACTTTCTTCCCTTCCCAATTCATTGGACCAAGATAAAGCACAGAGAGCAATCTGCAGTTCACTTCACATGCCCTTCCATCAGAACAGACATCAAATGTGAACTTAATGTCCTACTGTGGAGTGCATCCCTTTGTAAGCTGTTAGAATGCAGCCTACTGGTCATACATATGCTCACACACAATCTGATGCTTCCATTTTAGGCTCTTCAACACAAAAGGGTTTCCATATACAGCTGGGCCACAAATCCATATTTATTACTCCATGTGCCCCGCTCATACTAAGCATCTCTAAAGTTTACACTGATTATTCTATCAATTTGCACAATGTGATCTGTAAATAATTCTGTCCTGTGATTAATCTTAAAGGCAGGCCAGTTTTTCTTATTCCACATCTATCTGAATGACAGTTTTAAATTCAGTAATACATTAACTTCTTAATGACAATGAATTATTATTCATTGTTGAAAGCTATTGTGGACTCATTGATTCCTTCTCTCCTACTTCAGTTGGCTTCTTGGACTACAAAAGATCTGTGAAACACAATCCATGTAGAATTGCTCAATGCCCCAAACATGTCAGTTACTAGTGTCACTGCTCTGGAGAATGCTGATGTCCTGGAAAACAGTTACTGAACACGCACTGTCAGGACCGTCAAGGGCCCTTGTGGTCCATTTCTTTTCTTTTTTATTAAGGTATTATATGTGTACATATCTTATCCTGAAAGAAAGGCAGAAAGTACACCTCACCACTGCCCCCTCCTCTAGGCTTCCAAGAAAAAGAAGAAATTCCAAAAGGCAGTTATAAACACTATGGTATTTAAAGTTGTACAATGAATATATTTGTTTTATCCTGCCAGTGCCTCTGATGACTGTATTTGGAGATACTGCCAAACCATCAGAAGTCTACATCTGTAGCCTTTAATTAATGAAGGCTCGAGCCAAATGACCCTGCCCTGCCCTCTGGATTGGCCAGCACCCAAAGAAAGAACGGCGAAGAACAAACCCAAGTCTCATAGAGCTCAATTATAACTCAAGTACTGTACTTTGAAGGCTCACTAGTTTAGGCCGATAGTTTAAAATACGGAATCTCAGCGTCACCAAAC